TTAGAACCTTAGGAAAAATGCTAGGGCTGTTTTATTTTTTGTGTTTGATTTCTTTTTTTTTTCCGCTACGATTTTATTATCAAAAGTTTTTTAAACACAAATCAGTTTTGCCTTTCATATTACATTATATTTATACTAGCCGAGTGACCCGGGCAACGCCCCGGGTTTACCCGAAGGACCCGCAGGTGAGAAACTATAGAAGAAAAATTTTAACAAATCAGAAAATGAAATTGCAAACAACAGAACTACACTACTTTAAGGACATGAGAGCACATGCACTGTATCACCATACGTGTACCATTTTCAAAGACCCTGCTTAGGATTAAAACTTCTCAGAAGCATAACAATAGTACCAACCTAGAGGTTAACTGGTGTGGATGCATTCCTCTGGGAGTGAGACTATTGAGAAATTCAGTAGGGAGTTATTTTGCTTCTCCGCATTCTAACACTCCAACTGTTAACACTGCGGAAACACTGACTCATGTTTGGTAAGCAATTTCAGGGAAGAAACTATAGACATTGGATTAAATAAATTATTAATTAAATTGCATTAAATAAAAATTATTAGATTTAAATAAATATTATTAGAGTGAAAAAAAAAAGAAAGAAATTAACAAATTAGAAAATAAAATTTCGAAAAATACAACTATATTGCAGATAAGATAAGAGGACCTTATTAAAAAATACATAAACAAACTGTAATTCGACACTCGATAATTCGACACTTTCGATAATTCGACCATTTTAAAAATCAAATTTACAAGGTTGATTGTTGCTTAAATACAACTTTGCTTTTGCATGCATAAACACAGGCTCTTGTAGCAAGAACCCAAATATTATTTATAGTCATAGCAAAAGCCAACTTTAGTGAAAACTGATGCCTCTTCAGAATGAATGGAAGACTGAAATCTGAAGGAGCAGAAGATATGGGTCATTTATACTTTCACCAATGCCTTTAGGATCTTTGCGATGGAACGCGTATGGTGTTTCAGCGCATGTGCTCTCATGTCCTTGAAGCACATATACTGACAGTGCCCAAAGTTGAACACACTGTATAGTGTCTGAAATATCTTTGGCCCCTTCGGATACCAACCTTCGCTTCATTCTAGAGAGGCGTTAGTTTTCACTAAGGTTGGCTTTTACTATGACTATAAATAAGGCTCAAGGCCAAACCTTGGCTACAAGAGCCTGTGTTTACGCACGGACAACTTTATATGTGGCTTTTTCAAGTGTGCGAACATTGGATAGCATACATGTAAAGATGACCCATATCTTCTGCTCCTTCAGATTTCAGTCTTCCATTCATTCTGAAGAGGCATCAGTTTTCAATAAAGTTAGCTTTTGCTATGACTATAAATAATATTTGGGTTCTTGCTACAAGAGCCTGTGTTTATGCATGCAAAATCAAAGTTGTATTTAAACAACAATCAACCTTGTAAATTTGATTTTTAAAATGGTCGAATTATCGAAAGTGTCGAATTATCGAAAGTGTCGAATTATCGATAGTGTCGAATTACAGTTTGTTTATTTATTTTTTAATAAGGTCTTCTTATCTTATCTGCAATATAGTTGTATTTTTCGAAATTTTATTTTCTAATTTGTTAATTTTTTCTTTTTTTTTTTCACTCTAATAATATTTATTTAAATCTAATAATTTTTATTTAATGCAATTTAATTAATAATTTATTTAATCCAATGTCTATAGTTTCTTCCCTGAAATTGCTTACCAAACATGAGTCAGTGTTTCCACAGTGTTAACAGTTGGAGTGTTAGAATGCGGAGAAGCAAAATAACTCCCTACTGAATTTCTCAATAGTCTTACTCCCAGAGGAATGCATCCACACCAGTTAACCTCTAGGTTGGTACTATTGTTATGCTTCTGAGAAGTTTTAATCCTAAGCAGGGTCTTTGAAAATGGTACACGTATGGTGATACAGTGCATGTGCTCTCATGTCCTTAAAGAAGTGTAGTTCTGTTGTTTGCAATTTCATTTTCTGATTTGTTAAAATTTTTCTTCTATAGTTTCTCACCTGCGGGTCCTTCGGGTAATGTATATAAAAAAGCAAAGCCCAATTCTAAACCCAAATATTTTTTTATGAGAAGAACATCAACATATTGCATGATTACGGCAGTCCATAGCTTCCCTGACAAAAATTCACCAAGAAAGTTAAATATTCCAAAATTTTTCTGTGTGTAAATTGCTAAATATGTAAAAAACATGTATACAAAAAAGCAAAGCCCAATTCCAAACCCAAATATTTTTTTTATGAGAAGAACATCAACATAATGCATGATTACGGCAGTCCATAGCTTCCCTGACAAAAATTCACCAAAAAAGTTAAATATTCCAAAAATATTTCTGTGTATATATTGCTAAATGTGTAAATAACATGTATATAAAAAAGCAAAGCTTAATTTTAAATTTCATTATCCTTTCCACAGGAAAAGCATCAAAATACTGCATAAGTACGGCACTTTTGCAGCCGCATGATTACGGCAGTCCATAGCTTCCCTGACAAAAATTCACCAAGAAGGTTAAATATTCCAAAATTTTTCTGTGTGTAAATTGCTAAATATGTAAAAAACATGTATACAAAAAAGCAAAGCCCAATTCCAAACCCAAATATTTTTTTTATGAGAAGAACATCAACATAATGCATGATTACGGCAGTCCATAGCTTCCCTGACAAAAATTCACCAAAAAAGTTAAATATTCCAAAAATATTTCTGTGTATATATTGCTAAATGTGTAAATAACATGTATATAAAAAAGCAAAGCTTAATTTTAAATTTCATTATCCTTTCCACAGGAAAAGCATCAAAATACTGCATAAGTACGGCACTTTTGCAGCCGCATGATTACGGCAGTCCATAGCTTCCCTGACAAAAATTCACCAAGAAAGTTAAATATTCCAAAATTTTCTGTGTGTAAATTGCTAAATATGTAAAAAACATGTATACAAAAAAGCAAAGCCCAATTCCAAACCCAAATATTTTTTTTATGAGAAGAACATCAACATAATGCATGATTACGGCAGTCCATAGCTTCCCTGACAAAAATTCACCAAAAAAGTTAAATATTCCAAAAATATTTCTGTGTATATATTGCTAAATGTGTAAATAACATGTATATAAAAAAGCAAAGCTTAATTTTAAATTTCATTATCCTTTCCACAGGAAAAGCATCAAAATACTGCATAAGTACGGCACTTTTGCAGCCGCATGATTACGGCAGTCCATAGCTTCCCTGACAAAAATTCACCAAGAAAGTTAAATATTCAAAAAAATTTTCTGTGTGTAAATTGCTAAATATGTAAAAAACATGTATACAAAAAAGCAAAGCCCAATTCCAAACCCAAATATTTTTTTTATGAGAAGAACATCAACATAATGCATGATTACGGCAGTCCATAGCTTCCCTGACAAAAATTCACCAAAAAAGTTAAATATTCCAAAAATATTTCTGTGTATATATTGCTAAATGTGTAAATAACATGTATATAAAAAAGCAAAGCTTAATTTTAAATTTCATTATCCTTTTCACAGGAAAAGCATCAAAATACTGCATAAGTACGGCACTTTTGTAGCCCCCCTGACAAAAATTCACTAAAAGAGGTAAGTATTCAAAAAAATATTTTGGTATATATATTGCTAAATGTGTAACAAACATGTATATAAAAAAGCAAAGCTTAATTCTAAGTTCAAATTTTTTTTTTATAAGAAAAGCTACAAAAGCAAATAGGGAGAAGTGAAGCCATTTAGCCATTTTCAAAATCTGATTGTGAAAGAGTAAAAAAATGAGTAAATAAGAGCAAATATAAAGAAAAAGTATTGCTAAATGTGTAATAAACATGTATATAAAAAAGCAAAGCTTAATTCTAAGTTTTAATATAAAGAAGAAATAAGACACAAAAATGGAGCTAAATTCAAATGAAAAACTATAACAAATTAATAAAAAATAATAAGACCTAATTCAAATGCCACCATCATCAGACAAAAGAAAAAATGAGATTTTATTCTTTAGTTCATTTATTCTTCTGTCTGATGCTGTTGCTGAAACGTCACACATTATTGAAGACACTATAAAAGATAGATTAAAAGTAATAATTCAATCTACAATTCGAAAAATAATATAACCTGGTGAGTTCCCAGAAAAGGTTAACTTTGGTAGGCGGCGCTGTACGTTGACACCGCCGTACCTTCGAGCCGTTTTACACGAGTTAAAGCGAAGATTTTGGACATAGTGATTTTTACATTTCGATCTTTTATATTAATATATATACTTACTATTTCGAATTATTTTTCTAAAAACGAACATTATTTTTTTTTAATTATCTGAAACTAACCTAATTCAACTTATCTAAAACTAACCTTATTTAGCGATTAAACTAACATAATTTAACCTATTTGAATCTAACCTCATATACACTTTTACACTACCTTTTCATTTCAAAATTAAATTAAAATAAGTTTATATTAAATAATAACATTTTTAAAAATCGACTTTCTGGTTCACACTTTTGTATCTAATCAATTATGTTTTTCTTTATTTCTCTCTATAAAAGTACGCAATTGTAAACAAAAGAATTGATGATGATAAATGCAAAAAATCTACGATTGTAAAATAGATTAAATTAAAAAATAAAAATAACTGTTAACATTAGGAAAATAAAAACAGGCCTATCATACGAAGAAAAAAATAACGAAAATTTTGGTATATAGATCGTTACGTGTAGTTCAGAATCTTCGGAGGAGATAGCTCACGACTTTACAATGGAAAACTCTGTTACGGTATTATCTATATAGATTATTACTAGACGAATGGCCCGGGCAACGCCCGGGTTTTACCCGAGTGCGTATATATTTTAAAAATGTTTTAATTAAAATACTATTCGTTACAATTATAAATTGGCGCCGTGGATGTCTCTCTTGTGAAACGTCCCGCCCCAAACTGTGTGTGTCTTGAAAATATAAAAATAAAAATGTGAACGGAAAAATATGTCCAGGGTAGCCTAGTGGTCATGGCATCCGCCCGGTAAGCGGAAGGTCGTGGGTTCGATTCCCATCCCTTGACACTTTTTTTATTTTATCCATTCTGACCAAAATCTATCCGTGAACTTCACACAGTGAACTTCACACAGAGAGAATAAGGCAATTATATAAGTAGATAATCCAAATTGTGCCTTATCACACACTATTTTTTTATTTGGCCTTATTACCTTGTGTTTATAATCTATGACGTAATGCCGGCGGCGCGCGCCCGTTGGCTGCCGGCGAGCACGTGACCTCCCTGTGCGCGCGCATCCGTGACAGAACCGGCCCATGACGGTCGTGACTATATATAGGGATAATAATAATAATAATATAATAATAATAATAATAATAATTATTATTATTATTATCATTAGATAATGATAATGATCATAATGATGATGCGCGCGCATCCGTGACAGAACCGGCCCATGACGGTCGTGACTATATATAGGGATAATAAAAGGTTTTTGAAAAATATGGCACAGCGAAAAAAACAGTGATATGTAGCCTAATATGCAAAGGTCCTGGTATATATACCTATATCTTTCTTTACATAAACATCAAATTTGTATTGAGGTGAAATCATCATGCTTCCAGGGATAAATTTCTTTTTTTTTTAGATTATAATGTTTTGGAACACACATTCAGAATTTTTTTTTACAATTTACTAATGTAAATTCACTAGATGACGCGAGAGACACTGTTTGCGAATGAAATTGGCAAATTCACAAATGAAATTGCAACGAATATTTATATCAAATTCAAACCAGAAAAACTTCCCGGTAGTATACTAAATAACTTACCAAAGTTTTATGACGAACAGATGAGTGGTTTGGTCAGGTATAAAGAACAAACATTCATTTATATAGATAAATAATCAATGAAAGGCTTTTGAAATTACAAGACACACAATGTCAACGAAAATATATATTGTCGCGTTCAGCGGCGTAGCGCCCAGGCTCTATTTTGCCCAGACGCCCGAAGTCTCTTATTCTGGTCCCGGGGAGGAAAAAAACCGTGGAATCTCAAAGGTAGAGAAGAGCGATTCCCAAGAAGTCAAATCTACGGAAGTGTCTAAGGCAGGTATCAACCAAGGCGTAGACCTCTCGAGGGCGGGCCGAGAAACCACACGACTATAACCAGTCAACATAACAGTTTATTTTTTGTCACGAATATATATACATATAAATATTTACATATGACAAATATGTTTCTCATAATGGATTAAATTTACATATATTTAGAAAAATATAAATCTATAAGAAAATTAACATTCTATTCCCAACATACTCCCACCTTGAGTTTTTTCTACAGAAACTCAACCAATAGTTGGGAAACGACCGTTCATTCCAGTTCTTTAGGATTGGACTATCTTCGTAGGGTCTTTACTGGCTTCTCCTCGGGAGCCTCCCCGGCGTGGTTCCGACTGTATACTCCTCAAGGTACTCCCCAGATCGGCGGGTATCTCTGAATTGTAGAGCCGTTGAACCGGCCTAATCTGGACGCCCTTGCTGGTTCTCAACTTGGCGACCCTCACAGGTCCATCTCGGCCAGGGTAGACCTCCACAACTCTCGCCAAAGGCCAATTGACTCGCTTAGCATTATCTTGTCCAATCAACACCAGATCTCCCACCTTGATAGGTCTTGTCTTCGAGCGTCTTCTAGTCTCTTGCCTTAAGAATCCAAAATACTCCGTCCGGAATCTCTTCCGCAGATCTTCTCTTAACCTTTGTCTAAATCAGTATCTCTTCTGAAGACTAGCCCTTTCAATAGAGTCCAGATCTTGTCTCCTACTTATTTTAGTTTTGATCCTCAACAATCCCAAAGAATCGCAGCATAACTTGAAATCCTTCAACCTCTTGTCCTCTGGTCCAGTGAAGGATTCCCGTTGGATAACTCTCACCAGCATCAGTTCCGCCCTTTTAATTTCATTCACAGTAAGATCACCTTTCACTCGCTGACCTATTGTTCCTCTCGCATTTGTTAAAAACCGGTTCATCCAGGCAGTTACTCTCAATATCTTGTAGTAGTTTGAAAAGCGATAGTAGTACTGATCTTTTTCCCTTTCAATACATGTTGATGTTAAAACAATCTTTCTCTTTTCCGAGTTCACAATATCTGGGTCAGGGTATATTTCCCTATGGGGCCAATCTCTTCTTGGTCTTCTCAACCAACTCGGGCCCTCCCACCACTTCGATCTCTCCAGAGAATCGGCTAAGCACCCCCGTGATGGTAAATCCGCTGGATTCAAACATCCTGGTACACGATACCAATCCTCTGTCTCACTGAGAGATCGGATCTCCATAACTCGATTAATTACAAAAGTCGCCCAGTTATCTTCCATTGCAATTTCTGGAACCTCTTGAGAACATTGAGCTTTACATCCTGAAGAATCAGGATCTTATGCCGAGGCATCGTCTTTAGGCTTAGAGGTATCGTCTGAAGGCCCAGAGGTATCGTCTGCAGGCCTACAGCAGTCATAGGACTCTGAACTCTTCCTTAGAGATCTCAAACCACTCAATATAATAGTCCTATGATCTACAGGATTCGCAATCCTTTCCGGTCTAGCACTTTCACCAGACTTTCTGGAGACTTGTCTCCCAAATTAAGACCTTTTCGCTGGAGTAGGCACTTGCCCCTTTGGAGAACTGGCCGGAGTATATAACATTGGAGTTACTGCAGCTCCAGAAACAGTTTCCTTCGATACAAGTTACATTCCATTGCTTGGAAGATATTTGCCAATTGAACCTTTTTCTATTGGCTCTCTCCTCACATAGGTGATCTGGACAGTGCAACCCTGCTTAGAAAGCGTTTCACCTTCTCCAACCATGCATCATCATTCAACCATTTACTTTTCTTCCGGATTTAGAGGCACGGGCACTCAACCAAAATCGTCTACAACGATTTCCCGCTCAAAACCATCAGTTGTCCATCTTTTTTTTTTTTTTCCAAAGAAATTTGAGGTAGTCCCAATCATTATCTCTGATGGCGATTATCTGGAAATATATTTTCAGGTCGGCCACAACTCCGAACTTATTCCTCCGAAGCTTTATCCTTATCTCAGGGATTCTTCTCAGCAGACTGTGTATCCTCTTCATATATCGCTTCAACGAGAATCCGTTTCGTCCTCGATAGGAAGCGCCGTCTTTCGCTGGCCGTACAGGCGCAGCCCTGGAGTCACACCCACATACAGGGCGATCAGGCAAATAGTATCCCTTTACTTTAAATTCCGCATCTCCTATCTGTCCTGCTTCCATCAATTTATTCGATGCTGGAATTCTGACAACTCTTTCCTCAATATCATCAATGGACTCAGCCTCACCATCTGCAATCTCCACTTGATCCGCGCCTTCAGCTACCGCTTTAGAGTTGCTCACCGATTCACAAGCCTCAATTGCAGTTCCAGAATCCTCCACTTCATTATCCTTGGTTTCAGCTTCAGAATCCTTTACTCCGTCGCCCTTAGGCTCATCTTCAGAGTCTTGTACTCCATCGCCCTTAGGCTCATTTTCAGAGTCTTGTACTCCGTCTTCCTTAGGCTCATTACCTTGTTCTGCATATGGCCTTTCTGCCATCCTTAAATCGGTACCTTGTTTTACATAGAGCAGCTTCACTTCTTCGGTGTTCTTTGAATCCATTCCTTGTTCCACATCCAGCACTTTCTCTTTATCTGCTTCAACGGATTCTTTCTCAACTTCAGCCCTATTACTTTCATCAACTTCTACAACAGACTTCTTCTTGACTTGAGCCTTTTCACCGTCTTCAGCACAGCGCTCTCTTACTACTTGAGCCTTATTACTTTCTTCAACAGCAATCTGCTTGGATGGCTCCTTTACCATTTGCTCGGATGATACCACCATCTCAGCATCTTCCTTAATAGAAGCTGGATCAACTCCTTTCATCAGGGTAACTCCGACAACACTTGGCTTCTCACTCATCCCGATTTCCAAACTGCTCCCATCGCAGATCCTCATATCCATTGTCAATTTGGGTAACTTAACCATCCCAGTTAGAGTCGGTCGACCGATTTCTCCTGGATATTCCTTCTTCGTGGCAGTTGCAGTTTCCCTCTGCATTCCTTCCGCTACCACCAGACTTCTTTTCTTTAACAAATATTTCCACGCCACGGCCTTTTCCCGGTATTCCTCTACCATCTTTAGATCTTTCTCTAGATCTTTGATGTCAATCAGCTTACCGATTTCTTCGTCTACCCGCCTCAGTTCTTCGTAGACATCCGAAAGCTGCCCCAGCAGTTCCTCGTGGTCACACTCCTTGTGCACGTCATATTTCTCTATTCTTTTCCCGTACTTGGATAAAGACGTGCGGAGTATGGTTCTCTTCTTCTTGAGTCTCTCTAGCGCTTCTTCTCTTTCCATCTTCTGATCCAAAAGGGTTCCAAATATAGGCACGGCTTTCTCCTCGCGTCCCGGCTGGGATGCCAAATGTCGCGTTCAGCGGCGTAGCGCCCAGGCTCTATTTTGCTCTATTCTGGTCCCGGGGAGGAAAAAAACCGTGGAATCTCAAAGGTAGAGAAGAGCGATTCCCAAGAAGTCAAATCTACGGAAGTGTCTAAGGCAGGTATCAACCAAGGCGTAGACCTCTCGAGGGCGGGCCGAGAAACCACACGACTATAACCAGTCAACATAACAGTTTATTTTTTGTCACGAATATATATACATATAAATATTTACATATGACAAATATGTTTCTCATAATGGATTAAATTTACATATATTTAGAAAAATATAAATCTATAAGAAAATTAACATTCTATTCCCAACATATATAATGGAAATATTTTCTTAATAATATTATAGTAGTTACACGAGCAAAAAAGTAAATTATATAAAAGGGCGTACCTAGATCTGTAAAGAAAAAAAATTTTTTTTTTCTTAAAATATTTCGAGAGATTGCTCCCTCTTTATCAATAATTGGCAATAAATTGATAAAGAAGGAGCAATCTCTCGAAATATTTTAAGAAAAAAAAAGTTTGTTTTCTTTACAGATCCAGGTACGCCCTTTTATATAATCTTAATTAATG